CTTTTTTTAAAAGGATTTATTATTGAAAAATAAAAGTTGATGCTTTGTAATGTTCGGAAATCAAGGTTATCCTAAATCCTATAGATGTTCTGAGCCAACCAGGTAACCACCTGAAAAAAACACATCATTAGAAAGTAAGTAATTGGGTGCGGAGCCGATTCCTACGATTCCTAGCTTTCAATAATCGGGATAATAATAATAGCTCCCCAGCACTACTACAAACCTTTCAACAACCAACTAGCCTCTAAAAATAGAACGCAAACTCTTTCCATGTGCATTTTGATTTGTTCTCCTCTCACAGGGAGGTGGAAACAGGACAAAGTAGGGGATGGCTGGATATGGGTGGAGTACGATGTGACTTGATGTCACTGAGGCGTTATGCTAGCCGTGAAGGTCGACCTGGGTCACCCAGAAATGTTGCTGGCTAAAGGGGCTCTGGTGAAAACGTGACTGGCCTAGCGAGCCGACTTCGGATAAATCATGCTACAAGACAACTGAACAACAGTTGCGAGAAATTTAACATGAAAATAAGCACATCAAAAACAGAAGTTATAAAAATGAGCCGAAAACGTAGTCCTTTGAACATCCGCGTCAATAGCAAACAACTGAAACAGGTGAAGGAGTATCTTGGTAGTACTTTTTCTGAAAACGGGTCCATAGACAGAGAAATACAAAAAAGAGAACCCAAAAAGGCAACGCTGTCACTTACCAGCTCGCACCGCTGCTCTAAAATCCAAACACCCCCATAGACACAAAGAGACAGCTTATCACCTCATTATTCATGCATTATGCTACCAGTGCCAGACCTGAACATTAAGTAAAACCTATGAAAGCAAAAATCACAGCACGCGAAATGAATTAATGCCTCTGCAAAACCCTTAACATCAGAAGACGAGACAGGAAAAGAAATGAAGAAGTAAATGCAGCTATCGGCATTGAGTCCTACCTGCATTACATAGAAAGATAGAGAATAAAATGGTTTGGCCACCTGTTACGTATTGCACCTTGTCAGCCAGCCTCGAGAGCCTACAACACCAAGCACTCAGGCTATAAAGGAAGAGGAAGGCCACGCAAAAGGAGGATCGAGGGTGTCAAGGAAACCCTGAGAAAACATAACATCACAACTGAAAGATCTGCAGAGCTGGCCTACCATAGAAAACTGAATCTCCCCTCGACGCTTAACGGCAACAGAGGATGAACAAGTAAAAGTAAGTAAGTTAAGTATTCCTCTCATTGGTTTCCTCTCTCTCTCTCTCTCTCTCAACCCTTTTCCTTTACCCCACCCCCGCCCCTGACCTAGTTGAACCGGTATTCTCTGAGAGGAGTAAACAACCGATAAACACAACAATTTGTACACTTTGTCTGTTCTAAAACTGGTCGTCATCAACTAGTGCTGGGCAGCTAGGTTCCCGATTATTGAAAGCTAGGAATGGTAGAAATCGACTCCGAACCCAATTACTTACTTTCTAATGAAGTAATTTCTTCCGGTGGTTACCTGGTTGGCTCAAAACACCTTCAATATGTAGGATGACCTTGATCTCGGAACATTACAAAGCATCAACTTTTATTTTTCAAAAATAAATTCTCTAAAAAAGAGAAGATTTTAATGATTAAAGTAACTGGTAACCGCTGGTTTACGTAAAAAGGAGTCGGAACTTTTCTTCGGCAGCAGCATTAATCGTGGGAATCGATTCCGGAATCGATTCTCCGCCCAGCTCTATCATCAACCGTCTTTTTCTGCTCTCCAGGTAGTAGTTATTATGCCTTTTGTCTGAATGGAGCATCCACCCACGATCTTATTTGATTGATTAGCCGCGGTGCTAGCACAAGAGAGTGACTAGTTAAGCTGGGCGAGGGTATTTTCTGAACGTTTGGCGCCCGGCGGTGGGCAATCAAGAAGTAAACGTGGACACATTAAGACAAAAGGATGTAGATCTAGTCACCCCGGGTATTGATCTACAGCACTGAGAAACTTTCTGTACTAATCTACTATCTTCATGTCCCTCTGTGACTCTCATATCTCGAGAGTACAACAGTTTGGCTACAAATATTATTTAAGAGCTGAACTTTAGAGAGATTACGCAGTTGAATGATGCAATGGTGTAAAGAAAGTTTATTTTGACTGTCGGTATAAAAATGTAATACAACCAGTCCTAGGTCTTTAACGAGCTATTTCCCCATAGTTTGACGTCCTTGCGAACAAAACATTTACAAGTTTGGGTGCCGTGTGTTTTGTGCAATTTTGTCTCAATTTTGCGTTTACAGGGAAGGATTTGTAATGCCGGATCATAATTCTCACGTGTCTATGAATTATAAAGCTGATGAAACAAAATGTTTATAGAGGTTGCAAGATTTTCAATTTTCTTTTCTCAGTTTCTCAGTGACGGACTTAAAGATAAGGGGTCTTGCCCCTTTTTAACTTATTTGACATAATATTCCTTTATTACATTTTCCCTACTGGAATTAAGCAAGGCATCACGGTACCATACACCCCCCC